CCCGCGGCCCCGGGCCGGGGGGAGCGGGCAGGCGGGGGATGCTCTGCCCGGGCTCGCTTCTCCTGTGCCCCCACCGCGGCCCCGCAGCGCCGGCCCGGCCCCGCGCCTCTCCGCAGGGGTCCCAGCCCCGGGGGCTTGGCTGCAGGGACCCCGCGCCCATCACCCCACGCCCATCACCCTGGCCTCAGGCCTGGCCCTGCTGCCTGGCCCTGCCGTGCCCAACATCCCCCAGCCTTGTTTGGCCACTCGCCCATCTCCAGCCTCTCCTCTCTCAGATTTTGGGGCTTGCACCCACGCTTCCCACTCCCCACGTTTTATGATGCTCCAGTCACCTCCAAAGCGCTGGCCCTGCAGCAGACACCCCCTGACCCCCCTGCAACGGGAGCCACAGCCAGCACCGCTCGGATCAGCTGTCCGATTTCCAGGCACCCCAAGGAGACATTGATTTCCCGTCCTGGAGCCCCACCTTGGCTGCTCACGAGGCCTCACGGCTGCTTCCCCCACCACCCACCCCTCGCACGTGAGCCTTAGTCCCCGCCAGCAGCCGCCCCCCACTCCCAGGGGTGAGGGCTTCGCTGCCACACATCCCCCCCGCCGCCTCGATAACAGGCAGATAAGGAGAGGCCTCCCCGGGCAGGAGCAGAGGCCTTGGCTCAGCCCCACTCAGGGGTGAAACTCCTCTTGGCCTTGCAAGGAGCAGGCGTGGGCCAGAGGTGCAGCCCTGCTCCCTGCCCCATGCAGCATCCCGGAGAAAATGCAGCACGGGTGCCTGCCCGCTGCAGCAGCACGTCCAAGGGCAGGGGACATGTGGGAAGCAGTAGCAGCCAGCAGGAGAAACACTGCTTAGGGCTTTGCAGGGGCAGCAGGAGCCGGGACACATCCCCATTCACCGCACGGCCAGCCTGGTCCGAACATCCTGCAAAGAGCCCGTCTCTGGGTTCACAGGGATGTGTTGATGAACAGATTCAGTTTTCTGTGGGCAGCGCCCACCAGAGATGCCTGTTTTGGGGATGATGTCACCGTGGGGCGAGGAGATCCCCTGCCACCCATCCTCCCTCGCCTACCGGGCAAACAGGTTTCCTGAAATCCCAGCCCTCTCCTCCGGAAGCGCGTTCCTCTGACTCAGGGGATGAGGAGCGGGCAGGAGGGCTCCTCGGCAGATGGGGCGGCCCCGCTCTGTGCCGCTGCAGGGGTGGCCGTACACCCCAAACCACCCCAAACACCCCAGAGCCCCATGCCGCGGCCGAGCCACCGCCTTCCCGCGGCCCCTGGCCACGCCACCCACCTGCTGCTCGCCCAGCCCAGCCAGAGCAGAGGCTTCCCCGAAACTCCCAGCAGCCTCACCCGCCGGCTGACTCCCTGCCGGGGAATGCTGCGCGGCCGAGCTGCGGCTCTGGGAGCTGCGCAGCCCTGGGGGGATGGCGGGGGACAGGAGCGCACGTGGCGCAGGAACGTGTCCCAGTGAACCCACAAACACAGGGGACACCCCGGGACAGGGAAGGGGAGCACAAGGGACCCGGCAGAGCAGGGCCGGGGCCACCCCATGACTTGCTCCAAGGGTGCCAGCTGGCAGCTTCCAAAGTCCCTTTGCCTGGTGGGGCCACGGCCCTGTGGGTCCCGGCGGGGCGGGCAGGGGGCCCAGCACAGCACCGCCCAGAGTGGGTGAGCATCCCGGGGCTCCAGGACAGCCTGGCACCGGGTCCAGCTATGCCCAGGGTCCTTCTCCCCACCACAGGGCCAGCCGGGAGCAGGGGGCACAGTGAGGAAGGGGCAACCGCGGGTGTACAGGGCCTGTGGTTGTGCTCTGCTGGTGCTCCCAGTGCAGGCAGCGACGCAGAGGGCTCCTGGCTGCCATCTCAGCCCGAGTCGATGGGCTTATACAACAAGCAGAGCATTCATCGATCGCTCCGCTGCAGGCAGAGCCCTGCTGCATCGGGATTCCTGGGTCCAGCCCCCCCATTCCCGTGGTGCTGCGAACAGCCGCCCTCCCTGCGCTGATGGAAAATCCGATGAGCTCATGACGAGCATGCCGCCCGGTCCCAGCAGCTGCATGCCCCAGAGCTCCCCGTGTTCCTCAGCCCCTTGGTGTGGGGTGCAACGCTGCCATGGCTCCCTCGGGCTGGTCTGGGGAGGGGGCTGCACCCAGTGGGCTGGGGCCCAGCCATGGCTCTAGCCCCCGCAGCGTGCCCAGCGCCTCGCCCTGATGCTGTCTGTGGGGAGCCAACGGGGTGCGGAGCACCCCAAAATCAAAGGACAATCCCTGGAGCGGATGGGTGTGGTACCAACCCATCACCGGCAGTGCGCCAGGGCAGCCACCAGCCCCCGAGCATCTTGCCACAGGGCTGGCATCGCGGCCAGCCGCAAAGCCCCGCTGCTGCAGGACAATCCCCTGTGGGTGCAGGTGACAAATGGGCCAGCAATGGGCTGAGCCCTGCCCTGCCCTGCCCTGCTGCAGCCCTCCTCGCTCTGTAATTATCCCAGGCCGCATCTGTAATTAGTGCCCTGATGTCATGGTGTCAGGCCTGGGCAGCCCCACACGCTCCCCGCCAGCCCCACCTTGGCCTCTGGCCCCGGGGCTGAAGGAGATCCCAGTCCTCCAACGCCGTCCTGAGGCACTCCGGCCCCTGCCTGGCTCTGGCTACCTGCGCTCCCCACCAGCATCGTTGCTGGACCCCCGTCCCATCCCTGCCCCACAGCACCTGAGCTGCTGTAGGGCTGGATCCGGCCCTCTGGCCAGTGCAGCGCTTGCCCGCTCCTATTGCTGCATCTCTGCCCCCTCCCACGCTGCCAGATTCCTGCCCGCACCTCGCCGTGCTGGCTCTGCCACCTTCCTGGGGACGGATCCTGCCTGGGCAGGAGACGAGACAGCCCCTGCCCTCCCGAGCCCCCCAGGCTGGGGATGAAGGCAGCGCTGCCGGTCTCCCGCCCCCTTGGCACAGGGAATGCGCTGGAGCAGCCCCGACAGCTATAAATAGAGCGGGAGGCGCAGGCGTGTGCTGGCCGGGGCACACGTGGGTCTGGGCGGCCACGGCCGAGGGGCCGGCGTGGGGCACAGGCAGGGTGTAGGGCTGCAGCGGCACCCCGGGGTGGGACAGGAACAGGGAGGAAGGTGAAAGCCCTGGGCAGGGCAGGGGCACTGCTGTCCTGCTGCAGGGACGCACGCAGCCCTGGGCCAGGGGGACGGGAGGGGAGGCCCCACACAGCCGCCACGGAGCAGCACCCGGCACTTTATTGCAAGGCAGACAACCGCGCTCCCTGCGGCACATGGGACCCTGTGTACCCCTTCCCTCCACCAGCACCCTGGGCTGCCTGGCCCCACGGCCGCCCCACCTCTAGCACCCACGCAGGGGCCGGGCTGCGCCGGTGACGGTGAACCGCGCGGTCAGCACCTCCGAGGGCGCCCGTGTCTGCTGGCCCGGCTGCTGCCCACCGGCAAAGAGGGTGAAGGTGCCAGGCTCGAGGCGCCAGCCCTGTGCCCAGACGGCGCGCTGCTCGGCCGCCACCTGGAAGGACAGCTTGGTCTCCCGGCCGGACGGCACAGCCACGCGGCGGAAAGCCACCAGCTGCCAGCGGGGCACTGGCACGGATGACTGCTCCCACCGCAGGTACAGCTGCACCACCTGCCCAGAGGGACTGGAGTCAGCACCAAGAGGACCCCCCAGCTGCCCCCCTGGCAGAGGGGACCCCAGCCGCATCCATACCCTCTATAGCCACATCAGTGCGGAGCAGCCATGCTCACCTCCTCGCCATCCTGCTGCCCCATGTTCTCCAGCACCACAGACACGGAGAGGTTGGCACAGACGGGCAACACTGGGGGGCTCAGCACCAGGTCCCGGTACTTGAACGTGGTGTAGGACAGCCCGTACCCAAAGGGGTAGAGCGGGGCCTCCTGCCCGTAGTACCGGTACGTCCGCCCCTCCATGGTGTAGTTCTCCATCGGTGGTACCTGCGGGATGCGGGGCCGGTGGAGCGGGGCAGGGCTGGGCAGGCACAGTCAAGCATCATCCCTGCGTCCCACAGCTCCCTGGCCACCAAGGCAGGGAAGGGCTACGGGTGCCACCAGCTGCCCCAGCCTTACCTGGTGCATGCCCGCGGGCCATGTGGCTGGCAGCCTGCCGGCCGGGTTGGCCCCTGCCTCACCCAGCAGGACCCTGGCAATGGCGAGGCCGGTGGCCTGGGCAGGGAAGAAGCAGGCCAGGATGGCGCCCACGCCCTCATGCGCCTGCGCCCAGCTCACATCCAGGGGCCCCGCGTTGAACAGCAGCAGGATGACGGGGCGCCCGGCAGCTGCAGGGAGACAGTTGTCATCAAGAGCCCCGCGCTGGCGCCGCTTGGACGCCTCTGGGGTGCCTCGGGGGTGGGGAACACCTTGGGGGGCTGCAGTTCCCCTCCCTGTGCCCCAGCCCATCACCACCCCCTCTGAGCTGGTCCTGACCCCCGGGACCCCAACCAGCCCCCAGGTGCCAGCGCACAGCCCCAGCCAAGAGCCGAGCCCCGCAGAGCCCCTACCCGCCTGCACGGCGTCCTGCAGCAGCTCCAGCTGGTGGCCTGGCAGGGACAGGTCCCTCCGGTCCTTTGCCTCCGTCTCCACACCCGTTCCTGTGTGGAGACAGCCAAGGGACAGCCCCTTACACCCCACCCGGGCCACCGCAGACAGATGGGGCAGAGGGGCACCGACTGCCGCGGGGGGCCGATGGGGACCTGTTCCTCTCCCAGAGCTGCCCAGGCTCTGGGGTGCTCCACCTCCTCAGGCCATCCCCACCCAGCACCCTCCCCGCTCCCACCTACCTGTGCCCAGGCAGACCACCACCACGTCGGCTACCGCCGCCGCACCCACCACCTCTGCCCGCGAGTACTGCTGGCACTGTGGCTCACGGCAGCCTGCCGCGAAGGTGACGTTGGCCGGCAGTGTCTCCAGCCCTCTCCTGCACCAGGGAAGAGTAGAGGGTGCAGGGGCTGCTGTGCCCCAGGGCTGGGGCACCTTGGGGATGCCCCCTCTTGCCCCGGCCCCCAGCGAAGGGTCGAGCAGCTCCAGCAGCAGCCCCAGGCAGTGCCCAGGACCAGGGGACGGAGGGCAGCACTGCCCTGTCTCACCGGGGAGTGTAGATGTAACGTGGCTCCGGCACCGGCGCGTAGTCCCCAAACAACACCCGGGGGTTGTCAGCGAAGGGTCCCACCACCTGTGGAGGGTAGAGGGGTGAGGGTGGGCACCGGCAACCCTGTGCCACGCAGCCTGTGGCTCTCCAAAGAAGGGATGCCTGCGTGCCCGCGATACGGGGCCAGCAGCCCCTGAGTCACCACGTCCCCCTGCCCGCCTTCGTGCGCGGTGCTAACCGCTAGGCGCTGGCTGGGCAGGTCCCAGGCCCGGAGGGGCAGCGTCCCCCGTGTGTTCTTCAGCAGCACAAAGCTCTTGATAGCAGCTTCCAGCGAGAGGTTGCGGTGCTCGGGGCTCTGCACAGCGCTCAGGTCCAGGGCGCTGTAGGGGTTCATGGCCGGGGGGTCGAACTCCCCCAGCCGCATCCGCGTGTAGAAGAGGGGCCGGACCCGGTCACGCAGCATCTGCAAAGACCCCAACACCAAAACCTCAGCTGTGCTCGGCGGGGGCAGCCCCAGCTCTCTGTCCGTGCCCCTGGCCCCGCTCCCTGGCTCACCTGCAGCGTGATGTTGCCCATGACCAGAGCCTGGGGGATGTGCATGAAGACATTGTTCCTTGTGCCGTAGGAGAGCTCCAGGTTGCAGCCGGCGTTCATCGAGGCTGCCATGCCGGTGAGGAGGGAAACCGCCTGTCACAGCTGCGTGATGCCCGGAGACCCCACGCCCGTCCCGCGAGCTCACCGACCGCCGTCTCCAGGAAGGTGCGCGTGTAGTGGTGCCCCAGCATGATGAGCTCCAGGGCTCCTTCATCGCTCACCACGTAGCCCTCAAACCCCCACTCGCCACGCAGGATGTCTGTCAGCAGCTTCTTGTTGGCGCAGGCGGGAACGCCGTTGATCCTGTCGGAGAGGGGATGGGGCAGCCCGGATGACCGGCCACTCCGCAGGCAGCCCAGCCCATGCAGCCCCCACCATGCTCGGTACCTGTTGTAGCTGCACATGAAGCTGTAGGAGCCAGCGCGCACACACGCCTGGAACTGGGGCAGGAAGGTGGTGCGCCAGTCCCGCTCCAGCACCTGCAAGTGCCGCAGCAGAGAGGGGTCAGCGCCTGGGGGAGCCCCCCGCCATCCCACAGCCCTGCCGCGCTCACCTTGGCGTCAAAGCTGAGCCTGGAGACGGGAATGTTCTCAGGGCCCCCATGCACGCTGAAGTGCTTGCAGCCGGCACTGGCCTTGATATAGCGCGGGTGCTGACCCTGCAGCCCCTGCACGAAGCTGTGGGCCAACTCCCCGCTCAGGAACGGGTCCTCCCCGTAGGTCTCCTGGCCAAGACGCAGGCGGGTCACTGCCGGGACCCCCAACCCCACATCCCTGCAGCCAGTGCCCCGGGGAGCTGCTGCCATCCTCCAGCTGGTCAGCCTGATCCCGGCCCCAGGCCAGCCCTCCCCGTGCTGGCACCTGGTTCCTGCCCCACAGCGGGTGCCTCATGATGTTCAGGACGGGGCTGAAGCAGCTGAGCCCTGTGTGGTCACCGTAGCGGCCGGTGGCAGCAAAGTTGTTGTGCTTGGCTCTCACCTCGGTGGCAGTGGCATTGGCCACCCGGTAGACGAGCTCAGGGCTGCGGGGAGAGCACAGGGGGGTGTGGGCGAGGGGATGCCCATCTTGTAGGGCCATGTTCCGCATCCCTGGACGCCCTGTCCCATGGGAGCCATCCCACGGGGACCCGTCCCCAGTGCTGGTACCTGAAGGCGGCAGCGAGCCCCAGCGCCTGGGGGAAAGCCGTGGCCCAGCCGGGCGCCTCCGCATCGCCCCGCAGACACTCCGTGTTCCAGTTGTAGGGCGCGATGCCCAGCCGCGGGATCGGGGGGGCGGGGCCGTTGCCCCTCGGTCCC